AAAAAAAGTGGATTATTTTCGCTGAAATTGAAACGGTTAAAATGCTGCAAAGAAAATCCGATTATGTTTTAATTAAGAAGAGAACAAAGAATATTAGTCAGGTATTTTGTAAGTCGTTCCGATATAAACCGATTCCAGTGTTGATTTCATTCGCTTATCGCTTGCAATGGCAATCCAATCTAAACCAATCCAATTCCAACCAAACCAAATCAACTACGACGACGACGACGACGACGAAGGCGACGATGTTGACAACAACAACTCTGCAAATAGACTTAAATGCTCCGCCAGGGGCAGAAATACGTATAGTGATAACAAAAAAATGAGAAAAATAAAGTTGGTAGCAGTACGGAATTGAAAAAAGTAACAAAATCATACATAGAATTGGCTGAAAATGGCCAACAATTGCTAAAGCTTCTGCTGCTGCTGTTGCCACCATTGGTAAACGTGTCGTTGTGAATTGAGTCACTTTCTCTTGCGTAAATATGTACTTTGAGGTCTGTGAGTGGGGGTGGCGATGTGGCTCGGCAGGGCCTACAATGCCATTGGGGAATCGAGGTGTGAGGTGCTCCTGGAACTGCCTGGGCACAAAGCATATAGCTTACACAACAGTCAATATGAATGGTTATGAAGGCGACGAGGCGAGGGGCTAAGTGGAATGGGAGGGGGGGACAAAGTAAAATGAAATACTAAAGTGGCAAAAAGTAGGCAGGCAGGCAGGCAGGTGGTCGAGCGGTCTGGTGAGATGTGGGGATCGCACTCCACACTCTCTTCCACACTTTTGCTCGCAAGCAACTCTCCGCCGCACACCGCACACCGCCCACTGCCTGCAATTTTGTGGCGTAGCGGTGCAAATGGATTTGAAAATTGGGTTAATTGATGCTTAGAGCCAGTGTATGGCTGAGTGCGGCCAGGCTGTTGGGCGGAGAGCAATAGCTTTGAGGTAACGTCGAGTGTAAATGGCTGCGGTGGTGGGTGCTTGATATTGCAAAGGAAATGGAATAAAATGCGAAAGTGTGACAGGCGTTGCAGAAACAGGTGTAAAATAACAAAAAAAACGTAAAAAAGTGACAGAAAAAACAACAACAACAAATCAATGAGAACAGAAGAAACCAAAAGAAATGAAAGAAAGAAGAAAAACAAATTAAATGGAAATGAAAACGAAAATGAAACTAAGTACTAAGTGTCAGTGCGGCAACAACTATTGCATTCACGTATATACAAAGGAAAGGACGTGACAAGCAAACTGACTGACGGCCGAGAACTCGTGCGACAACTGGCAATTGCCAGCAGCGCATGAACGACTCGGCTACTGAACTTTGCCTGCGGTTATAGGTGGGAGGCGCACGGACGGTGGGTGCTTAAGTGGCTAGCCTACATTCTTGGCAGCTGCTGACCTGCTGATTGTGCAAATGAATGAGTTGGGAGCAGGAAATTGTGGTACACAGAGCGCGCTATATTGTTTAATCAGAGGCAATACGGGCCAATGGAACATCGATGTTTAGTAAATTTAACTAAGAGCTGGTTAGGGCGGGGAAAAGTGGAATGGTGGCAAACGGAGTGCCGCCCTAGGTGGTGTTACACAATTGAAAAAGTTTTTTTTTTCTTTTGTTGCTTACTTGTATTATTTGCAGTGAATTCAAAAGATGGCTATGCCTTATAAATTAAATGGGGCACAACCTCTCCCTACTATGAAAGGTGTGTTAGGCGCTAGGTACCGATAAAAGGGTACAAAAAAGGCTTTAAGACGCACATTCATTACCGCTATAAAAGAAGAGGTACTAGAAAGTTTTATTGAGGAAACATTTCAATGGGATACAACTTTTAAGGAGGCAAAATGGCACCCTTATTACTAGCAACGACAGTGGACTTCTGAAATACTTGCTTCAAGTTTATTTTCTAGGTTCTTACGTGGAGCAGGATCGCCTGACTTCAGCCACTTCGAAACATAGATTCCGCAGAGTGAGAAGACCTAGCAGTTCTGGCTTTATCTTTGACATTGAAGCAGTAAGGATAGCGGTAGAGTACTTTAAAAAATTTAAAGCAGAATGCGGTGGTTGTTTCTTTCCAGCACTAATCGCCTAGCCTAGTCAATCCCTTTGAGGCTTGTTATGCGTGGGATTATATCCGTTTACTTAGAGAAAGGTATACTTGTAATCTATTAGGGTGTAAACGGGTGTACCCACTGGGGTACTGTTTTTATTGTTTGAATATTGTGACAAAGTCAATTTCCCATCAAAACAAAACTTTTTTCATTTCCACCCGAGCCCTGCGGACTTGCGGAAGACTTCTTGGCCTTAGCGTCAGATATATATTGTTACACAGACAGGTCAAGGATGGAAAACAGAATAGGTGTTTTTGGACCCAACAATGCAGCGGGCAGATCATCCACTGTCTTTCAGGCAGAGCTGCTAGCCCAGATTAAAACTTGAAAAGCAAGCATGCTTCGGACTTTAGGGCATTAAACGAAAGATTGACAAATCTCATTGAAACTTATACAATAGGCGACAGCAGCAGCAGTTTCAAAAACATGGAAGGTAGATAAAAGTTCAAAAGGTGTTAGATATTAAAATACATACTAATACATAGATTAATTTCATAAAAATTGCTGCAATAAATGATCTTAATTAAAAATTCTTTTGAATACCCACCGGGACTACCCAAATCCGTGATGTTCGCATTGGTGGTGTCAACGCCGACTGCGAGGCCGCTGACAGTGGGCGCTAACCGCAAGAGCAGCAGGATGCTTAGCGACAAACTGAGCGCGCTGCAGGTGCTAAAGCCGGCGCTCAACGCAGCACAGGCCGATGATGACGACAATGACGCGCCTGCTTGCGTGCGATTGTTGCGCGTTGGCGTGCGCGCGCTCTCATTGGGCGTCGCTGTTGCCACCGTGTCTGGTGGCAGTACGGATGCGGCGAGCGAAAATGTGGTGTTAGAACTGTCATTGCCACAGAGCACGCTGCTAGTTTGGAGCTGTTTCGCGCGTCGATACTTCTTATAACTGCTGCTGCGTTGCTTTGCCGTTAGCGCCGACGCCGATGCCAGCGAACTATGTGCGCTGTTGTTGAGCTCGTCGCCGCCACTGTTGCTTCGGCTGTAGCTGTTGTTGTTGTTGTTGTTGTTGCTGTGATAGAACATCATTTTCCATTGGATTTATGTCGCTCCAGTGGTGAGACAACAACAAGAGCGCGCTTCTTTCCGTGCTGAAGCTGAGGTTGGGGCTGATGACGATTGACGTTCTATTCACTGTAGTCTGGTGTGTATAGTTCTTTATGTTGTTGTAGTTGTTTTTGCACTGTTGAATAGAATGTTGATAGCATGTCATCGTTTGGTACGCGTGAGCACAGAAATAAATTTAGTTTGTGATTTCTTTTTCTTCTTATAAAATAACTTGCATATTTTTTTAACTTTTAATTTATTTCAGTTTAAATAATTATTCCTTATTACACTTTTTGTTTTTGTTACAGCTGGCAGCAAATATCCACTACGCCTTCTCCGCGCTAAGCGCTACAACTGTGCACCGAATCAGCGGGAGGCCAACGTCGCACAAATGTTTGTATTGTAAAGTCTGCGGGTGGGCGTATGGGCGTATGGGCGTGGCAGTGCGTTTGAACGCGGATACGCGTTGGTTGGGGCTTGTTACGCGCTTGAATTGAATCAGCGGCTTTATTTACACTCGAAATTACTGTAGGCTGTTCTCCACTCTACTTGCCGCCACACAAAGCAGCTGCGCTTCATCAATGCTCGAATGTTTTTTTTTTTTTAAACGGCTGCCCTCCTCTTTGTTCGCGCCTCCCTCGTAAAACTGTCAATTTACCGCTGCGTCGTCGATGTTGAAGTGTGCGATTTGTATCTTTCACTCACTATTCAGTTGTCTCGACAGTTTATATAGAAATTTATTACTTGTTTATAAATTCACTCGGTTCACTTGGGTGCCTGCTGGGTGCTGGGAGCGTCGCATACGAATTCAATACGTGACAAGCTCACTACTGACTCGCCGCTTCAACGGTTCGCTGACTGACTTTGCAGACTGTCTATTACACTGCGCAAGCGTGTGTTGCACTAAAAGTACGTTTGCCACAATTGCTGCACATTCGCATTGACTGACTGACTGACTTCATTGAGGTGCGCTGACAGGCTGACTGACGACTGCAGCACCGCACTGCGTCTTCGTTACAGTTGTCTGTCAATAATAATGGCGAGTATGCGCAGCTCGCTACAAATCGCAAACAAATCGTCGTTTACTATCTATCGTATTTGCAGGGGGGCGGGGAAGCCAGCTATCACTCAGCACATTTAGTTTTACACATTTTGCTTGAATTTATTGTTTATTTTTGTTATTTCTATTTTTACATTTTAGTTTACTTTCAATTTCAGTCGCAACTGAATGCTTCACGTGATTTCCTTAATGCAATTTATAACTATTTCTTTTCTATATTTCTAAATTTATTTTTTTTCATCAGTTTACTACTTTCAGTTTCTACTTCTTTTTTTTGTTTTGTTTATTCTAGTTCATGCTGCTTTTCCTATTTTATGATATTTTTTATTACAATTCCCCAATTGCTTGCTGCCTCTTTTCTTTGCCTTGCCGCACTCAGCTCAATTGCACTTCTCTTTTATTCGTGTGTACACAGTTGTAGACATTTGTCTGTTTGCATTTTGACACACATACATACACATATACTTATAAACAAACCAGTCGGCGGTATGAGTAGGTGCGTTTGTTTGCTGCTGCTGCATAACTTTTGGTTTATTTATGGCTGCTGAATTTCAAGAAAGTAGCACACACACTCACTTAAAAGAAATGCACTAAAAAAAAAAGAAGAAAACAAATGAGCGCTCCAACAAATTTGCCCACTTGAATCGATTCAATTTGTTTGCCGCCCCACTTTGGCTTAACCTCCTCTCACTTCTGCGCTTCACTTCCCAGTCGCTTATTTTATTTTATCTTTCTTCCTTATTGTTGTTGTTGTTGTTGCTTTAGTTGCTTGTAGCACATTGATAAAAATTTCTTTCGAAATTTATTCACGCTGATAAAACGACACTACAACTACTCGCTTGTGCGCTGCCTTCCGGCTCCCTGCTCGCTCCTCCTCGACACTGCACGGCTGGCTGCAGCAATGCATACACCCACACACACACACACTCTCTAGTTCGCCTCAGAACGATTGCAGTTTGCAGTTTGTTGGCCAAAGTGGCTCCAGCCAAGTCAGTTGCACGTCGGCTTGTCACTGGCAGCAGAGGCAGCAATATACGGCGTGAAAATGTGCGACTCGTTGCAGCAACATTTCAAAGTCCCCCCGCAAGCGGCAGCAGCAAGCTGTGCGTGCGTAAGCGTTGAACTGCAGTGTAGTGCCCGTAGTAGTAGGCTGAATGTGGACTCTGCCGCTGTAGTTGTTGTTTGTTATGTATTTACCTTTCCGCGGTTGTTGTTGTTGTTGTTTCGGCACTTATTGCTTGTTGCTCGTTCGTATCTGTAACGTACACAAAAAACGGTAGAAGAGAACAAAATTTTATTAATGATTTATTTGCGCTGGCATTGATATATGCTAATACTATTTGCCCCACAAAAACAAAAAGCAGAGGAAAAATAAATATAAAAGCACGCACGCACGCACACCCTTTTTCCCCAAGACGCAACCAGACCCACAAAGGTGCGCGCAGCTGCAAAGAGGCAAACCCTCCGACATAGATATGTAGATACTTGCCACTCGACACACATACGCGATAAATAAGCAAACATACAGCGACGATCACAGAAATGAGAACACTCAATGAGAAATGGTTTTTATTTTTATTTGATCAAATACAAAAAAATTTGCTAAGCTAGATGTGGTTTGAGAACGACGGCATAAGCTCCTATCAGATAAAGTCATCAAGTCACGGTTTTGGGCTTTCGGGAAAAACTAAGGGCTTCCAACACATATCTCACGCTTTGTACACCTCAGCCATCCGATCGATTTTAACCTATGAAGCGCTGGTCTGATGGAAAGCACTGCATAAAAGCAGCAACCAGAAATTAATTGGAAGAATGCAGAAACTCACAAGCCTCGGTACGGTATGGGGCTAAACTTGATATTTCGTAGCAAGCGCTGCGCAAAAGAAAAAAATTGTGGACGGCGTATCGGAATCAAGGCCGACTACTTAGATGTCGGACCTGATTACCCCACGTCAAATTGGCATTTTAGTCTTGAGATCCCTATACATTTCCAACTAGGGAAGATTGGGACGGCGGCCTACTGTAGGTGAATGGTGGTGTTTTTGTCTACCCCGATGGCTAAAAGATAAAAAAGGAGTCCGCTCGGGTCTGTACTCTAAGGACCTGTAGAAAACGCAATCATATCGCTTGTCTGATAACCGCAGTGTCTTTCAGGTGCAGATCTTTGCCATAGAGAAGGTGGATTATTTCATATGGCTTACTATTCAGGGAACGTCTGCGAGGCGACACTGAAAACGTTAAGCTACAAGGTAGTAAAGTCGAAAATAGTTCGGAAATGTCGGGAGTAACTTTTCTCCGCTGGGTTCCTGGACATATCACTATCGAAGCGAACGAAATAATCGATGAGATGGCTAGACACGGCTCGGAAATGCAAATTAGTGATTTCTTGTCCACTAAGGAGGGTCGAAGAATCGATGACTGTGAGGTCTCAAGATAATTATGGCCGAGACTTAACACAGAGACAGTGGTACTGAAGAATTATTGAATATACCATATGAAATGACTTCGACTCTGCCTGGCAGTCATAGAGGGCATTCACAATGGGCAAGTCGAATTAGTCGCACCCGTCTTCCTAACCTAATCCAAGCTATCCTATTGCGATCCGTCATATGAGATCTTGATTCGCTCTTGAAAATGAGAATTGACGGGATTTGGGCAGGGATTTTTTGCAGAAATACACATCGACGTAACTTGAGACTAAAGAACAAATAGAAAACGAACACATTTTTCATTTTTCAATAGAATATTGTAAAATTAAAAACGTAGATTGACTACATTTGAACTTTATTATCGGAAACATGGCATAAAGTTATACTTCAAGTCGGCACGGGTTATCGCCATCCTACGCAGAAGACTGATCTTCGAGAAAATGCTTGATCTTACATAAATAGATTTGTTTCTATGCTGCCAACCACTTGTCTACAATTTTATGACCACTACTGTTAGCGGCTGAGAAAAGAATTCATGAATATGTGGCAAGTAAAGACATCTAAATTCTTTGCCACATTGTATGTCATTGCATATGTAGAAATTTATATACATACATCGATCTAAATTCAAATATACTTCTCCATATCTAGGGGAATGCAGGCACGCAACAGTGTGGTAGGTAAGGTACTCGTATAAACATGTATGTACATATGTATGTATGTAGGTACACATACATAAATTTTTTATGTATTACAGCACAAATGTGTTCAGATGGCCGTAAATTATTGAATTATGTTATCATGCGTCCATGCAACCGCACAAACATTTATACATATTTACATAAGTACATTTATCAGTACAAAAATATATATCCATCATAATAATAAATATAAATTCTTAACGCACACTCATTAACTAAATACCACTCTACTACATACATATTTGCTTAAGTGTTTACTTGCGTGTGTGTGTGTGTGTGTGTGTGTATGAAAGCGAGATATGCTCCGCCGATAAGCCGTGAAAAGGCATAAATAAAAGCGGTTAATTTCCTTCTTTTTTTTTTGACTTTAATGCAAAGAAAGTGGTAATACCTGCAATGACAGCTTCTAAGATATCACCACGTTTATACATACATACATATGTATTTTTTTTTTTGTAAATACATATATACCTCAAGCAGAAAAGGGTTGGCGTCCTAAAGCTGGGAAAATATAACAAATGATAAACAAAGCCAAATATTTTTACAGTGTATGACTAATGCATCGAAACGAGCGTGAGACACTTCCTTAACCGCCGAATGTAAATATTTAATTTTGTAGATAAGTTTTGAACCGTTTTTCTACTTAAGTGTTGAGACTTTGTAATCAGCAATGATATTAACATAGGTGACGAGACATCTTGTGCATTTTGTTAGGGTAAACGTAGCCAATTGAGTCAACAAGAAGTGGTTTGATGATTAATTATTTTAAAAACTTTAGTTTTCGTTGGTTTACAAAAAATCATATTTTGCACAATCAAATGACTTAAGAATTTAGTTGTTTAATTGTGGTTTAGGTCGGTATGAGGAGGCTTCGTACCTACTATAAGCAACGCGGGACACACCGACATCACTCTTGACAAATCAACTCACATTTGCAAATGTCTATTACATACATTCCAATAGATCCACCATTTTTATTTTCAATAACAAATAATTGAAATTCACATAGCGATGTCCTAGGCTTAAAGCATTTCAAAGTCAATATGTTTTGTTTGAATACGATTTTGTTCTGCACTTCACACATGCCTTTTCATATTTCCAAGACAAAATATAAATTTATTATCATTTTCACATGTTGCCTCTGTTGGGATTCGAACCCGCACCTTCCGGAAGCTAACAAGCAACAGCAAGCATCTCTGCACGCTCAGCTAAAGCCAGACATGTAAGATTGCTTACAAATGTTCAGTTTGAATTGTGTGCAAGCAGCAAGTCGATTGTCCAAATCTGCATTTGATTTCAACTACTTTAAAATGCATTTGAATTAAAGCACTTCAAAGTCAGTGAGTTTCTTTTGAATACGCTTTCGTGCTGCACTTCACAGATATGCTCTTTCATATTTTCATGACACAAATTATTTCTTTGGGTAAAAAGGGTATCAAAATTCGAAACATTTACTCACTGCATTTGTTTCAAAGTAGTTTTTCAATTAGTTGATTTAAAAAAAAAAATCACTTTTTTCCGTCAGGGTAGCGATATAATGAATAGATATCGGGGAGAAGTATTATGTTTGCATGCGTAGGTTAGGTTAGGTTAGGTTATGATCTGAAAAGAGTTCACTTGGAGGCTACAGCGGCCCATTGTGATGCCCAGAGGTTTTCCTAATAGTTTTCCTATATGTCTTTAAACCATACTGATTTTCTAGCAAATCCTAGCAGAAGTTTCAGTGCGGTTTTCTCTAAGATATCTATGAACTCGAAGACGTGATTCCCTAGAAATTTGAGGTGTTTTTCTCCGGAGTGCTGGACACTCTAAAGCTTCTGCATAAATCGTAATACGGCGCTTCGAAATGGGCGGCCATGTGGCCAATGGCCCAGTATCCCATTAGTATTCCTGTGAGCAGCCTATCGTTTATTTTTGAGTGCTTTAACAAACTCTATGTTCTTTGATCGTCGAGCCCTGGCCAGAGCGAGTGCGATACCGCGCAGGTGTATGTAGATTATTCCTCCTACTGTTGGTCATTCTCTTCACTTCTGAACACAGAATTGCAGGATATGGATCGCTTCCTCCAGTCTTATTTCAGATCCCTTTCTAGCACACCTGACCGCTTCCCCATCACATGCGTAAAGAACCATACAAATATACTTGACAGTTTGATATCCAGTATTACCTTCAGGTATTTTGTGTAATCTTTCTGCGCTAAAGACGCGCCCTTAATATGAGGCTTTCCTCAATTTCGTATTCCGTACTTCCGAATTCCTACATTCTTGGACTGTATTTGAATATCGCGGGGCGCCTGAGCCATTATAGAACTCATCGTTATAAGCCGTTTAGAAATTAGATTGGGCTCTTTTGTGGCTTTCAAATAACAACCGGCCTTTTAAGTGTGTTTAGAAGAATGCTAAACTAATTGACATATAATGCGTAGGAATACGTGATTCCCTACACTTATTAGTTTCGCTGTTCTCTATGAATTAGGCACAAGTGAAAGTATACATAATGCAAGCATTGATGATCCGAATAAAGACGATTAGAACTACTGCCTGAATAAAGGCCGGCAAACATCACTGGATTCTGGTGATTTATATTGGACATTTACCTTTTTTATATTTAATTTTTTCGCTTGTACAGTTTGGAAAATGAACGTTTCGTCGTTACTTAAGAGCGTTACTCTCCATCGTTCGTCATTAATAGACGCAAATAGTCGTATTTTTTCTTGAGTTTTTTTAAGTCTTTTTGATTCAGAAGGATTTTCTATCTCGACACATGATATCCTACTCGCATAGTGGATTACGTTTTCACATACCCAGAGACGATCTTTACATTGGTCACAGCATACGCTTGCCTCTTTCCGTATTCCAGATCGGTCGTCTTACTTTGGATTTGGGTTTAATAATGGGGCACGCTTTATTGAACGGCGCGCCGCTGGCAGAGTAGATGTTGTTATTTGCTGCTGATGGACCAGTTGGATATTCGTGTTTCAGGCACCTGAGCCTTAAAGCCAGTTTGTTGGATTTATTCGACCTTATTTTTTTAGTTAATAATGTATTTGTAAACAGAGTACTAGGGTCTACCCAGAAGTCTCCAATTGCTTTATTAAGCAAGTCCATGTGATTTTACAAACTTAA